GGTGGTTGTCCTGCTTTTGCTTTTGAGAGTATTGACCCATAATAGGATTGGTGTTTGTATGTGGGTTAATTTTGGATGAATAGGCCAAGGTAACCCCTTCAAATTACTCATTAATTTCTTCATGTATTTTTGCATGATTTATTAGTAAGTTCGCAAGTCTTAGGGAGATGGTAGCATTGTTCTTGATTTCCAAAGTTCAAATTTAGTGGATTAGGCCACCTAAGAGTCTTCTTATCATATTGGCTGATTATGAGAATATGGCAAGAAATGTGTTGCGGGCTCGCTTTATTTTTAAGGAGGGACAGGAGGGTGATCATGATTACTTAGGTGTTTATATATATTCTTTATTATTAAGATGAATGGATGTACATTAATTCTTACCTTAATATTCTTTTGTTTGCTCAAAACATATTTAAACAAGTTTTAATGGACATTAATGATCTTATCGGTAGTTATTTGAGTTCATATTATGTGTAAGATCGTCTTAAGACTTAAGAGCTAAATATATATTGCATCACTAATAGGTAGAAGACCATAGGTTGGCATAGCTTAAATAAAAATTTTTCATAGTAGCTCGAAACCACGCCTAAGATTTGGAAATTCTATAAAAAAATTGAAAAGTATTTTTCTTATGGGATTGCCTCATTTTAGTGAATTTCAAAGAGGTTGGAGGAGTCTTTATTATTTCTTTGGTTTATGATGAACTAAGCTAATTTGATAAATGTATGGACAGTCCTACTTTAGAGAGAGTAGAACTAAGTGTGATCTGACCTTTCAAGTTGATAGGGGAAACATGGCATAGTAACATGTTAGAGATCTATTGAATTTGCATAATATTTGTGAAATGGTTGATATGCTAATAAGGATTAAAAGTCGTATTTTATAAGGAGTTTCAATGGGCAAGTTGAAGTCCATAATAATCAGATGCCTAATGATATTATAAGTAATAATAAAGAATTCTAACAATTTGGTGAAAGGTGATTCTCTATATATTATGAATTAGGTATAATAATTTCTCCCAAAGAACATCATAATAGATGTCAATATTTCAATATACAATGATTGTAGAACAAACAATATCAATGTCATTTTTAAAGGTGAAAAGAGGAATTGAAAAAAAGGCGAGAAAGGAAATCTATATGGATATCCTTAAATTAATAGCTATGTTGAGTAGTTTAACATGAGAGAAACAAATTTTAATGTGCTATAATAGCATTATTTGTCGAGTGGCCTCAATAAGAGATGAATGCTCTCGTTCTAATACTCATTTTTCTATAAGCACTTCCCTTTTAAGGATAACTTTAATACACGAGCTATAACAATCAGTAAAGAAAGAAAGAAGTTGTAGATGTTCTCCATTGGAAGATTGGTTCACATAGTGTTGAGTATTACAAAAGGAGGCTTTGTTTTCATGGGTATTATGATTGTTAGGCATTGAAAGTGTGTTTGTAAAACCTATGATGGTAGATTTTCTTCACTAGGGAAGTAAAAAATTATCAACCATACCAACTAGACGCGAACTTGACTCAAAAATTTAGGTCAAGCTTACCTGATTATTTTTATTTTGGTCGGATTTGAGTTGATAGGATTAATTTTTAGGTCATGTTAGAGCAAAAAAATTCCAACACATTTAATATTTGAGTTGGATTCAGGTTGACCCAAACTTGACTCAAAATTAAAGTGATTTTGATCCAAGCTATTATGCATATATTAAACGAGCTATGTGGATCGGATTCAATTCAGTCGGGATGAAGGTAGGTTGGGTATGGGTTAGAATTTCTGGCTTGTTTAATATTTTGGTCGGTTTGAGGCTAAACTAAGAGGCTTCATTAATGGAATTGAAGTGGAGAGGGAGAAATGTTAGAAGAAAAAATACATAAGATAATACACTCCTTATCAAAGGAGGGTACAGGAGTTGACCACCAAGTCTTTTAAGAGAATACTTTTTCTAAATTTAACACACAAGACAAAAATCCTTTCAAAATTAATTCATTAAAATAAATTAAAATTCAAATCCCACGAGAGAAAGGTAGTTGGCTTGTCGTTTGGAGGACCTGATATTCTTTTGTTTTAGGCTAGACTTAAACTCGGCTCGTTAATCCGATTTGACACCCTTATTCTTCACACAAATGTTATCAAATTGTGACGCCCTAAAATATTTACAGTATTAAAGTGTGTATTTTTTTAAATATAATAGTTGCTTATAATTTTGCATAGCTCATACGATTCACCGAATTTTTTAATTAAAAAGAGAAAAATTAAAGATCCTAGCACAATAAAAGTCCATTATTTAAGGTAACTATTATAATATTCCGTTCTTCTTCTCAACTGAAAACGCAGAATTACAAAGTCTATATTGCTAACTATTTTGTTGTGATAGCAAAAAAAAAGTTGAACAATGATCATCAATGATCGGTCAAATTACTACGAATGTTGATGTTTATTACTACTAGAAGGTGATAGCAGGTGAGCAGTTACAAACATCAACAACATGGATAGAAAACAATAAATCAGCAACCATCTTCGACAATCATCAATGTTTATCAATGATGAACAAGCAACCCTCTTTCCTTGGTAGATCCTCCATTTGGCAAAAACCATATAATTCTTCAAATTCATATCTGCTTCAAATTCACTTCAAATTTACATATTTCTTATTTTGACATTTTTATAACTTTAAAAAAAACCACAAACACAACATCACGCATCTTAGAACGATTCCAATTAAAAATGTTTTATTTTTTTAGCATTTAAATATTTTTATATTTTATTCATCTTATTCTGCAGGCATTTTTTTTGTTACCCTAAACCCCAACTACAAAAGGAGAAATATGATGCAGTAATTTGTGCTGCCATGCTTTGTGCGACACGTGCCATCGGGTGTCAACATCATCCGTTGTCATCATGCTCTCATGCAGTAGGACGGCCAATAATGACTTGCCATTGCACATACGGAACTTCTAGGGGCATTTACATTAATATCACCCAATTAGGGCTGTCAATTTGGCTCGTTGTTCGTGAACAGCTCGTGTTCGACTCGTTAAGCAGCTCGTGTTCGGCTCGTTCGTTAAGCCTAACGAGCCGAACATGAACAAATTTTTAAGCTCAAAATGTAAACGAGACGAACACGAATAACAATTTGTTCGCTCGTGTTCAGCTAGAATTGGCTCGAAAATAAATAAATAAATAATTAATTAATAAATACATAACAAATATTCATAATATTAAATATTATAAACCATAATTAATTATTTTTTTAAAAAAATTAGCATATGTTATAAAATTAAATTCTATTATAATATATAACAAATTATTATTAATAATATATTAATATTACTTATTAAATATTGTATATTTATATAATAATATAATATAATTTATATAATTATAATATATTATATATCATATAATCTAAAAAACCCCTACCCGACCTCCCTAATCTCCATTTGCCTCTGGAAATTTCTCGCCTCTCGAAACTTCTCGGGTTCGGCTGCGTCTTTCGTTTAGGGTTCATTTATACAACTCATATCTCATATCACATCTAAAATACCACCATTTTAACTTGAAAAAAAAAATGAAATATATCTTTTCATGCATAGTAAGGTGGCATGTATGCAAAACTTAATGTTTAGGTGAAAAATGTAAATACATGGAAACTAAGTGGTACGTATGCAAAGCTTCCAATCAATTATCTAGAAACATGTATAACAAAGGCAATTGCATGCGTAGCATTTGTATAATCAGATAGAATTTGATATTCCTAGATCAGATTCGGTGTATGCATATATACATACAAAAAGAGAGATAAGCCTATGTTGACAAAGCACCCCTTCCCCTCCTAAATAAATTTCTTTTTTACATATATAGAATTCTGAAAATCTGTTAGTAGTAGTAGTTGTAACGACCAAAAAGGATAGGACTTCTATAGCAGCACGCATCCACTTCAGGAAGCATTATGGATTACTAAAATTTAAAAGTTAGTTTAACATCTCGAATCAATCTCCCAACGGCTCAGAAAAGCACCCTGCAACAGATCAACAACTATACATTTACAAACCTACCCACCCACCTGCCTCCCAACACCTTCACACGAGAACCCATTTCTTCTTTCTGCTATAAATGCAAAGTTAAGTGGCCAAAGGGCAAAGAAGCAGAGAAAAAAATACAGAAAAAACTGGTTTTTAGAATCTCAATGGAAGCAGAATATGGAGTTCAGGGGAAGGGAGCAAATGCTCTGGTTCATATCCAGGTGAGAAGGATCAAGGAAGAAGATGAGAATAGGAGGCATTGGTTTCTATCTCAGATGCTTGAGATGAAGCCCATGCTCGGAGAGCTCAAGAAACGGGTTAGACAGTCGCCGTTAGGTCAGACGAGGGACACAATCCGAGCTATACCGGTAGGGAACTGAAACGGGCCTGGGCCTGGATCTTCCAATAGGTCAGTCAAGGGACGCGATCCGAGCTATAAGGGTAGGGAGGTGAAACAGGCCTGGATCTTTCATGGGAAGAGAGAACTCCTAGTGCTTGATTTTTATTTTGAATTTTTGGGTATTTTGTATATAATTAGTAGTAGGATTTAGAAGCGTGCTTCCTCCGAATCCCTCCTACTTCATTGATATTGGTTATGTTTGATGCTTTTGATGCAACTATGAGGATTTATTTGTGTTTTTATATAAGATCTCAAGCTGCAAGGAAATAGCATTCAAATGATGAAAGTGCAAAAATAATCCTTGGACTCTTTGCAAGGTCATTTTTAGTCCCTGGGTCTAAGAAGTGTCAATTTAATCCCCAAATAAAGACGACGAATGACTATTTCAGCCTTAATTTAAAGAGTTTGGGAACTAATTTGACACTTTATAGACTCTGGGACTAAAAAGACCTCATGTAAGTAGTAAGGGGGCTATTTTTGGCATTTTACTCATTTTCAAATTCATCCCAATGAGCCACCAAAATGTAATCAGGTAAAAGCTCCTAGAAAACTAAATTAAAAAAAAAAGCAAATTCCAAAACCAGATTAAAAATACTTCCAAGTAGAAAAAGGTATTGTAAAATGATAAAAACAACTCACCTTATAAAGAAGAGAGCAGCTCATTACATTAATGAAACAAAGCTAACATCAGGCAGAAGAATTTTTCTTTGATAGCCTCTTAATTCTGCGAGAAAGATTCCGCATAACGTCGATGATCATCAGCTTCTTCTGCATCCTAAACTGTACTGCCAATTGCATTGAAGGGGAAAGGTTTCCTTTTAAAATGGATTCATCCTGCATTATCTTTGTGGAGAAGTGTTCCAGAGCAACAACACACAGAGCTATGATAATGCGGAGGGCAGCAGTTTCGATCGAGATGCCTAATGGGGCTTCGTCAGAGAGTGTCACTAGAGTGTCAAGGTCGAAATTTTGAACTCTTTCTTCGTTGTTTGCGATAAGTACTCTTAATGCGGCGAGCAAACAGCCATCTACCACTCCTGAGCCTCCTAAGTTCACCTGAACAGAGAAAGGTAGGGTTGGATGTTGATCATACAAAGCAATTTCAAGTGATGGGTAAAAATTGACAAGTTCAATGGAGTTTAGTTCTAAGTTCTAAAACATTGAATCAATTTTGTAAAAATAGATAAAAATATAAGAAACAGGAATGTAATTCTGGACACTTTGCGGTTAGAAAGATATGCCATACTAATTAGCCTGGTAGGTGCCAAAGAAATTGCACGTTTCTATCATGAGTGCAAGATTGAATGAGTGTGGACTGAGCATGCACACATGAGCGAGCGAGCGAGAAGTTCAGGCATACAGATTGGAAACGGATAGAAAATAAGCAAATAAGCCAGCCTGAACTGAGTGGCAATAGCCTCAACTCAAGTTGTTTACAGACTAGTCAAAGGACAAAAAGAAGCCATCTACAAGGCCAATTTGTTGCACATTGAAAATGTTGCGGAAAAACTGAAACTCAAAAAACAATTTTTAAATTAAAATGCAACTCTGTAGCTCATGCTGACTTCAGCTACAAATTTATTTTTAAAAAATATGCAAGAATTTTCTGCAAATGTGAAAGTTTTCCATGAAAGCAATAAATGCCTTTATGGGTAGCATAATGCAGTTCCACAAAAACAAATTAGCCAAGGTTCAAATATTTAATTCTCATGAATGCACAAAGCACACTAGCCTGAAATATAACCTCTTCATTATTTGAGCTGCATGCATTGCTCAACATCTAAATTTTTTTGTATCTCGCAAACAAGCCATAAATGATCTCTTCATCTGATTAGTTTTGCCGCATTCATCTTTCAACATGAAATTGTCTGCATGTTGAAGATAGGCAAGAGTGTAGGAGATGCAGGATTAATTTCTAAGAAGAATAAGCACGTTAGAAAAAAACCAAAAGAATAAAGCCCACAAGATACACTTGACGCTATTTTTAGAAAGAGATCTTATTCAAAAACATTTGATATAATTTCCTGTTACTAGATTGTAGATACAGTGTTATTTTTTTCATTAGAACACTACCATTGCCTGGTCTTAAGCCCCGGAGGCATAAAATTTGTCGAAAAATCATGACACGAATCTTTTAAATCTTCGTGTAAATGTTAGGGTGTGGGCATCCCTGGAAAAGATGCAAGGTATGATCTGAATACAGTGAAAAGTATGCAAGGGCCGCTACATCGTCGCCCCGGTGTAGTGTCAAATTAGAAAGGGTTTACACGTTACCGACGGATGCAGGTAAAGAAATTAGTCCTTGAAACAAATATTAGAATAAGTTCCTAGAATATAGGTACTCTCATAGGTAAATTAATGGAATTAGTTGATATTATAATTCATAGGTAAATAAATATCTTATGTATTCAAGAAACTAAATGGGTTGGAGAAAAGACTATGGAGATTCCGATAGAAATTTTAGGTAAACTTTGGCATTCCGATAGAAATTGCCCAAGAAATGGTGTAGGTGTAATTATAGATAAGAATTTGAAAGATAATGTTGTAAAAATTAATAGAATTGGAGACGGAATTATAGTCCTTAAGATTGTTGTTAATACTAAGAATTTTAATGTTATAAATGCTTATGCTCACCAAGTAGGTTTAGATATAGGTTCTAAAGAAAATTTCGGAATGGCCTAGAAGGATTAATAAAAATGATATCTCTTGAAGAAAGAATTTTTATTGGAGAAGATTCAAATGGACATGTTAGTAGTGATAGAAGATTTTAGAAATATTTATAGTGGCTACGATTTTGGAGTGATAATTTCGCTTTAGCATATGATTTTGTTATTGCTAATAATTTATTCAAGAAAAGAGATGAGCATATTATGACTTATAAGAATAAATCTAATAAAACATAAATTGATTATTTTCTTATGAGAAAAAGAGATCGTCGAGAATGATTTATGAGAAAAAGAGATCGTCGAGAATGTAAAGATTATAAAATCATTCTAATTGAAAATTTAAGTACTCAACATCAATTATTAGTATTAGATTTTAAGGTTAATAGTTGTAACAAAACAAATACTAGAAATAATTATCATAGAATTAGATGAAGTACATAAAAGACAAATAAAATTATTTTTATGAGTAAATTTCAAGATAATGAGATTTGGGGTGCTCATGAATAAGCAAATTCTATGTGAGAAAAAGTAACAAATACTATTAAACAAATGGCAAAAGAAGTACTTGGAGAATCAAAATGAAAAATATACATAAATAAAAATAGTTGGTGGTGGAATAATAAGGTGGAAAAAAAGATAAAATTTAAGAAGCTGAATTATAAAAATTGATTTAAATGTAAAAACTTAGCGAATTGGAAAAAACGATAAGATGACCCGTAAGAAGTTTAAGAGAGCAATTTGTGATGCTAAAAATTTTGTTTTAGTAATTTTTATAGTAGATTAGATACTAAAGATAGTGAAATATATATTTATAAATTAGACAAACAAAGTGAAAAAAAAAAGTAAAGAGTTAACTCAAGTAAATTGAATTAAAGATGAAAATAAAAAAGTACTTTTCTTAACAGAATATATTTAACATATGTGGGTGAGCTATTCTGATAATCTTTTCAATGAAGATTCTAAAAATACAATCGACTAAAGTGATCTTAATATTGTTAATAATAATCAAAAATATTTTATTTCTACCATCGCACTAGTAAAGAAAAGTTGAGGAGGCTTTAAAAAAGACAAATGGTGGAAAATCAGTAGAATCTGGTGAGATACTAATTGAAGTGTGGAAATTTTAGGAGTTTTGAGAGTTTCTTGACTTACTAAAATTCTTAATATTATTTTAAAAAACTAAAAAGATGCCTGAGTGGAGGAAGAGTATTTTGTTCCCCATTTTTAAGAATAAAAGGGATGTACAAGAGTGAAACTTGTAGATGAATTAAGTTGATGTGTCATAATTTAAAATTATGGAGAGAGGGTATTGAACATAGGTTAAGACGAGATATAAAGATATTTCATAATCAATTTAGATTTATATCGTGCGGGTCTATTATGGAAGCTATACATTTATTGAGAGGTTTGATGGAGAAGTACAGAGAGAATAGGGAGGATCAACATATGATTTTTATTGATTTAAAAAAAGCTTATGATAAAGTTCCGAAAGAAGTCCTTTGGAAAGTTCTAGAGAAGAAAGGTGTTGATATGTGATGTGTTGATATGACTTATATTCATGTCATTAAAGATATGTATACTAGAGTTGTTATTTGTGTTCAAAAAGAAGAATGATTGATCAAGTATTTTTCTATTTCAGTTGGATTACATCAATGATCTGCTTTAAGCCCGTATCTTTTTACTTTAGTTATGGATACTTTTACTGATATTTACAGGAGGATGTACCTTGGTGTACGCTTTTCGTTGATGATGTCCTTCTTGTGGATGAGATTAGAGAAAAAGTTCAGAAAAAGCTTGAATTTTGGAGGTTTACATTGGAGTTTAAAGGCCTTCGTTTGAATAGAACTAAAACTGAATACATGAAATGTAATTTTAGTAGTAGTAGCTCTAGTGGCAAAGTTGTAACTATATGTGATCAAATCATTAAAAGGTGTGAACATTTTAGATATCTAGGGTCTACTATTCAAAGTAATGGTGATATAGATGGGGATGCTATTAGTAGAATCCAAGTTGGTAGGTTGAAGTGGAGAAATGCAATGGGCCTATTGTGGGATAGAAAAGTATTGCTTAAAGAAAAAGGAAATTTTATAAGATGGTGGTGAGACCTGCAATGCTCTATGGCGCAGAATGTTGGCCTTTAAAAGAGAAGCATAAAACAAAGTTAAGTGTTTCTGAGATGAGAATGCTTAAGTGGATGAGTGGCTTGACATTTAGAGACAAAATGCAAAATGAATATATTCGTGGTAGGGTTGGTGTAGATACAGTGATGGACAAGATTAGAGAGATTAGTCTTAGATGGTTCGCTCACATTAAGCGTCGACCATCTAATGATCTGGTTAAGAGTAGATGTTTAGATTCGACTGATATTAAAAAAGGTTGAGGTAGACCTAAAAAACTTGGGCATATTGTATAAAAAATGATCTTAATCCATAAGAATTAAATGAAAATATGACACTGAATAGGACACAATGGTTAAAAATGATTCATGTAGCCGACCCCACTTAGTGAGATAAAGGCTTCTTGTTGTTGTTGTTCTATAATTAATAAAAAAACTCATAATATTTATAATCATTCTTTGTAATAAATTGCAAATTCATGTGAAACAAATGAACGTTGGACAATAATAATAAAAGAGGAAAAGAACAAATGCAAGTCAAATCATAATAATGTTTATCGTAACCCACAGAAAAGAAACGAGCTTAAAAATGTGAAGAAAAACCTTAGTAATGGCACCATCACCAAGTAACTTCAACTGGCATAAGATTTCCTGTTGCCATTGGGCTGGTGAAGAGAACCTGGGGGAAGAAAGTCCTGCAGCCATAGCAGCAGCTTCAAGGAGAGTTCCATCATACTTCAGCTCAACATGATCAAATGGGTTTGATGGAATCACAAAGCCATAGTCAAGAAGGAAAAGATCATTACTCAGATAACCATAATTTAACAATATAGGGGAATCTTGATCTATGTGTGTTTCTGCCACAACCTGTTAGTAAAGAAATAAAATGAGAGAGGCTCCAATTCAATTACATTAAGTAAACTTCATGTTACAAATCATTAATTATGATATAATTTATGTCAGTCTGTTTGAGTATTGTTCCAATGAAGCAGATAAACAGATTTTCAGTAAATATGCAGCAAATCAAACACTCATTAGACTATTATTTTTACTATATGTTCAGCTCCCTGACAAAAAATCATTAAAGATAAATCGAGTTTAAAAGAGAAGCAGCATGGCGAGTTCTTGAGAATGCAGCAATTTGCTGTCAAAAAACATATTGCAAGCTTGCATGTAACAAAAAATTTTAGCCCGTTTTTTAATGTGTTATGCCTATTACTAAATGTTGCACCAAATACATAAATGTCCATAATAATAGTCATTGCCACTATGACAAGCAAAAATTATGAAGATTAAGTTAATTATACTTATGCCATCCTGAACATTGAAGATATTCACAGAGAAGATATTGTTAATAATCTTGTTGACATTCATCAAAACAGATTTTTACCAATTGCAAGTTACAACTACCATAAGTAAACCCATTTACAATTTCTAATATGGAAAAAAAGAAAACGAAAACCCAATATACCAAGATGCAGGGGAAACATATAACCAGCAAACCATGCAGGCTAAATTGCTGTAGTTTTGGAAACAGTGATTATCATGTAAAGGGTTTGGCAAAAGTAAACAACGACAGAAAAAATTGGCAACTGCAGAGTTGAGAGAAATGCTAGAAATCAGTAAATAGCATTATTTGGTGGATTACAAATGCCTGATAATTTGTTGTAAAATTGAGTAACCATTCTGAAAACAATTATAAAGTCTCCTATTGACCGCTGATTTACCCGGTTAATGTTAAGATATTAAAAAGAAAGAAATGCAATTTTAAGAAACTGTTGAATAAGAAAAAGATTAGAAGCGAAAAATTAAGTGAACCATGATATAAACTGAAAAAAAAAAACAATGGATCTTTTTTTCTTTTTTAAGTTGAGTTAGCACTGTAGAAAATATATAAATGTAAAATTTTAAGTACATATTAGATGTCAATTGATATTTGAGAAATTAAAGAAAAAATTGGAAATTTTTTATTAAAAAATATTTTTAACGAAACGATAAAAATTAAAACTCAAATTTATAATTTAAATGACATAACTCAAAAATTATTTATTTATTCCTTGATTGGGCTTTTGCATACACACTTTCTTGGGCTCTTATCAGGGCTTTCATAAATACACATCTAGCTTCTTTTCTTGAAATGGATGATGCACAACATTGCTTATTTAAAGTAAACTGCCAAATTTATTATCCCCTTCATGATTTGGTCTACATATCAAATTTATTTAAAAAATATGAATCCTAATAAGAAATTGTTTTCACTTACAAGTCCCGTGTTGATGGCTATAACTGCATTGAAAAAATTATGAGTGAAGACATTTAGTTCCAGTATTGTGAAGTTAACGATACTGATGGGTAGCCGAAACATTGGCATGAGTCGGGTGCATGCCAAAATTTAAAAAATTTCTTATATCTTTTAGTGCTTCAAGTGAAATAGGAAACAAGTTCCTATAGATGTTGAAGTTCTTAAAGTTTACAACTGTATGTTGATTTTCATGAGAAGAAACAGAGTTTTTGGACTTAATGCATTGTACGACGTAACTTTGTGGAAGCTTCTTCAATGTAGGAGCAGTGTAATTTGAGGAAACAAAGAAGGTTAAGATTTTAGCTGTAGATCAAGTTCTAAAACAAATAAGAGCATTGATCAAAGAGGAAACAGTTGAAGATGGCCGATTGGATCAAATTCACATGGCACGATTTGTATGATTACTAACTAATATAATTGTAGCATTCGAAATGATGAGACAACCACATTCAGGGTATGAAAATTCAATAAAATGTTCATTCTTCATATCAATAGATCCACATGAGCAAAATATATGTTCAAGATCCATCAAAACTCTTAGGTGTCATTTGGGCTTATTGAGATTGTGTTGTGATCAGCCCTTTAAGGCTAGGCAAACTTGAGGAGTTTAGTTCATAGAGGAGACAGAAAAAAATCAAAAATATATTACCATACTATAAAGCAAATGGAGATTTTAGGATTTTGATTCTTTAACTTAACTGAGATATAATTAAAATTCAAATTGTTAATTTTTAAGATAAATATAAAGTACACTTTTATTTTTCAATAAAATTAGTTTTAAGATTCTATTATATAATTTTTTTTTTAATTAGGATAGCTCTAACTCAAATTTTAAACATGCTTAGATTTAGAATTTATTTAAAATTATGTGGGGACAAAGAAATTAGAGGCAGCTGCGGATGCGGATGTTAACACGGGATGCAAACGAGGGAGGTGGTTATGGATGTGGATGTGGGACACGGACGCAGGCGCAGGCAATAAAATGTGGAATCCCGTTCTGGGCGTAATGCTGGAGCGAGATCCAAATTCCCGCGATTGCGAAATCGTACATGACAAAATCCTGTCCCTAAAGCAACTTCAACAGAAATTTCTTAAGTTTGTTTATTATCATGGGTATTATAGACTTTTAATTACTATATTTGACTTCTAATTAGGTCAAAATTTATGTATTAGCATAAATGCCTTAGGTGGAACCTGGTTGGGGAAGACTTTAGCTATTGTTTTACTGATTGAAAACTTTATTCTTTGATTTTATGCTCTATGGAATGTCGTATCATTTTCCTTTTGTGATTTGTATATTGTAGCTTGCTCATAAATAGGTGGTGGACCCCCTCGACAATCGCGTCTTGTCTTTCATGATTTATATCAAGATTTTCAGCTCAGACAATCGTCGAACGCCCCTTATCCTCCAAACGCCACTGACCTTCCATATTGTCATCCCCTTGTTAATTCACAACCAGGCCCCCGCTAAATCCACTACCCAAACACTATCTAAGATTCTTAAAACAGTGTTATTTGGTATGAGAGCCCAACAAATCTTAAATTTTTAGGGATTTATCTTTATTGAACCCAAATCAAAATTCCAAAAGACATAAACTAATATTTTCAATAAAAAGTTATCCCTACATTGATCATTCATCTATCCCTAACCCTAAACCACCATTTTTTTAGCAAAAATTTTGGTTGAAATAACGAGATGCTATGTTGTCAAAGAGAAATCCTTAAAATGTTGTTTAAGTACTCACTATGGAAGATATGGAAACATAAATCCTTCAATTGTGAAAAATGGAAACAGAGGGAAGTCACTCACAACAATAACATAGAACACCCGGATGAAGCAAAAGCTTTTTCATCAAAAAACTTCAAGTGATGAAGAGTCGATGTTTTATTGATTCGGTATTGAGTATAGGAGGAGATAAAGTGATTTTGGTGTAAAGGTGAATTTACCATATTTTGACAGTCACGTGGATTCAAAAGAGTTCATTGAGTGGCTCCAAACAGTGGAATAAGTTTTTAGTATAATGATGTTCCACTTGACAAAAGAATAATGTTAGCCGCAATTAAGTTAAAAAAGAGTGTTTTCTATGATGAAAAATTTTGAAGCTCCTATTCCAGTGTAAGGGAAAAAAATAACATCACTATGTAGTTCAAGTTAAAAAGAGAGATTACGCAATTAAAAAGGTAAAATCCCTCCTACCTGAGAAGAATAACACGGGATAAAATAAGGAGATGAATACAAGAGGCAACCGCGGATGCAAATGCTGATGTCAGATGTGGATAGGGGAGGTGCCTAAAGATGTGGATGGGGAAGTGGAACGCAAACAGATGGCAAAATGCAAAATTGCATTCTTAGCGTGATGCGGAAGCAAGATCCCAAGACCCGTGATTGCGGAATTGAACGGAGTGCACCTATCCCGAGAGTATCTTTAGCAAAAATTTTGTAACTTTGTTTATCATCACGGATCATGTGGACTCTTGCTTGCTATGTTTGACTTCTAGTTATGTTTTAATTTAGGAATTGGTATAAATATCTTAGATGAAACCAAGTAGGAAAAGACATAAGCTATTATTGTGTGCGTTTAGAGACTTTATTCTATTAGTTTTTGTTTTGTAGAATATTTTATCGTCTTTCTTATACGAATTATGTGTCTATAATTTGTTCAATAACATGTGGTGGAAACCACTAGACAACAGTGCCTTACCGAACTCGGTGTTTGGTGGTTCTCTTCATTGTTTTCAGCCCGAACAGCCATTTAACGCTTTTCATTCCCATTCAAACATTTCATATCATCATTGCCTTGTTATTCCACAACCGCCACCCTGCTAAACCCACTTTCTAAACAACTTTTAGGAACCCAAAAGGGCGCCACTCAGGGTATGAAAATTCAATAGAATGATTACTTTTGATATCAATAGATCTACTTTGATGCTCAAAAAATATGCTTTAAGATCTATCACAACTTCTGGGTGTCATTTGGGCTTTATCAAGACTGTGTGCAATCAACCCCTTAAGGCTTGTAAACTTGAAGAGTTTAGTTCATAGAGAAGACACTAAAAATCAGAAATATATTACCATATTATAAAGTAAATGGAGAGATATAGAATTTTGATTCTATTACACAACTAAGATACGAATATATTTTAGATAAATATAAAGTACATTTTTATTTTTTATCAAATTAGTTTTAAGGATTCATTATATAATTTGATAAATAAGATAGCTCTCTCTCAAATTTTAAACATATTTAAATTTAAAATCTCTTTAAAAATTTCTAAAAATATGAGAGCATTGGTTTGATGTGTTCATGGGCTTTGGTGAGTGTGAATTGCACGTAGGGGTTCATTTGCTTAAAAATGTAATGTGGGAAATTTCAAAGTTTTGGCATTTAGTTGGATGAAAAAAATAGATAGTAAAATGTTGGTGAACTTGGAAATCGATCGATTCGATCGATCTTCAAATACACACAAACTATTGTCATGGGTTGTCGCCCGCAGCATGTTGTCGACCACTGCCCATCGCCAATTGATGTCCACTGCCTCTACCACTAGGTTTTACATTGATTTCATTTTACTTCAAATCAAATACACAAAAAAGTATTTCATGCATTTATTTTATACCTAAATAAACAACTCTTAAATATTTCAAATATATTATATTTCAATTACATTATTTTTTTTTTTTCAGTAAACCGAACGACATATTAGTGACCTATAGTTGGGTTTAAGACAGTAAACCGAACGACATATTAGGTGACCTATAGTTGGGTTTAAGATGGAATATAATTAAAATTATAAATAAAAAAGAACAAAGCAAAGAATATAATTGAATTAGAAGATTGGGAAAGAAAATAATGGATTGTCTATGACCATGGCCATGAAGCAATCATTTTGTCATAATATATTTCATTATGGTCACATCATTACGACTTCACTCCAATCGATGGTCTTGACCTTGAAATTCCCCTCCTCACAAGCTTGAAGCGTTGAAAGCACAATTGTGCCAAAATATTGTAACAATTTTATAGACATGAAAAAAGTATCCTTTTGAGGAGGTTTCAAGTGGAGAATTTCATGCAGTTGTTGTCTCCCTTGTTTATTTATCTATAACGAGTTACAATATGTTTTCTCTTGGGAAATTTAGGCCTTGTCTTGTCTAACGAGACTCTGTGCACTTGAATTTAGAAAAGATTAATCGATTATGCCACATTTTCTTGTTAAACCTTTACAGTTTCTCTACAGCCGATTAAATCTTCTCTATCTCTCACATATATGTAGGCCTTTTTTAGCCTAAATATAAAAATAATATTTCTTATGGTGAGTGAATCTTTGTTATGACTTTGCGAGTATATCGTATTAACTCAAATCACTCCCAAAAGGTACTTTCACATATTTTTCACATAGCATCTAAACGCTGTTTTTATCTAGGGTTGAAATTGATTCAAACTCATTGACAATGCTGAAAAGATATAGCTTCAAATGAATTCTCTGATACTTCATCAATAAATACAAAAATAAAGCAATACTTAATGAGAGAGGGAGATATCATGCAGAAATTAAATAGGCGCAATCATTTTTATGTGGAGAAAACAAAAGGACTGGTTAAAAAGTCAAAGGTAGATAGAAAGAGAGTAGAGGAAGGGTGTAATGTATTGGCGTTTGACTAGGGATTCAGACTTGAACATACAAGTAAAAGAATATGAAACATGACCCTAAGATGCGTAAACAAACAAGAACTTTAACTAATAAAATTATCAAAAATTTTATACCACATTAAACAGAATTATTGAATTAATTGAAGCATCAAAATGATAAAACAATCAATGCTCATGCATGTTACCTTTACAAACATTTTTGAGCTTCCTTTCTCTTGTTCTTGAACAATTTTAGCATTTGGTTGAAAGCTATGGTTACACATATCAATGAGAGGAAGCAGCATGTGAATATCCGTCTTTTGGCCGCCCGAGAGAACTTCGCCATGCAGACGAAATGCACGAGAAGAAACTGCTGACATAGCCCAACCAAGGGAAGATGCATTCGGATCCTGGCCACCAAAAGGATGATGTTTTGGTTCCAAAGTTTCCAGTAACGTCTTGATTTCTTTCTCAAAATCAAGCAAAAAAGAGCATCTTTTATTCACCTGGAGCAGAAGTTGGCTTGAATTTACACTACTGATTTCAACAATGCTAATCACACCAAAAGAATATACTAAACAAACCTGATACACAAGCGGGGCATATTGAAGGTTCTTAATATCCTCCCTCGAAAAGAATATGGGTACACTAAAAGTTTCTGGGAGATTGCTGATGTACGGCCACCAAAATGAACCAATTTTAGCTCTTTCTTGAAGCAACCTCAGCCCCAGTCGCATTATCCAGAGTTCCTCTGTCACAGGCTCCCCACAGGGTATTTACTCCCTAAGAAAAACTCAGAACATCCAAATTTGAATGGAAAAAGTTATAGCCATAAAGAACCATGAAAACTTGATGATGTTAGATCCAAGATATGAAATTCAAAATACTTCATTTTATGTTTTAACATATCATCCTTAAGAAGTTTTTTTCCTATTAAAATCCTTGGCATACATCCCTGTGATTAGAAATGAAAAAATGATGACCTAGAAAGATTGGTATTCCCAACAAGGGTACACTATTGAGTGATTCAATAAACGCAGCCCATGTTGGTTTTCACAAGTTACTGGATCTTTGTATGGTTTTCGATTTTAATTCAGCTGAATCTCAGCATAATACTAATAATAATAATAAACTTTAATATCCACCCTTATCCTTCCTAGTCCTCCTTAGCCCCATTTTAAATGGAACGCCCACCTTTTTTTCTCAATAGAAGTCCAAAACAAATTGATGCACTGTAGTTCACCGAGACCCGTCATGAGCCTATGTTTTAATGTCATTTAACATACCCTGTGAATGTCCCTTGCTTGTATTTAAGTAGATTATTAGTTACATAAATGACAATTGTTATTTAGGACTACTTTAATAGTTTTTATATTTCCCTAAGGATAATTTTACCATTTCAATGATGATGATAAAAAAAAAAACAATGGAGTTTAGGGCTCCTCGATTGACTGTCGCTTGGCTTGATGTCGAGGTTTTAATCTCAGTGTTATTCACCTCCCATCATTTCAATTCCACGCACAATCATCTTTGGCTTGTAAACCAGTTGCAAGCAGTAGCTCAATCTCTTTTGACTCATCTGGCAAGCTACTTCCCTACATCATCTTTCTGTCCATTTTGCTTTAGATGCCCCACTTTCATTGATTAATAATTTTAGAAAACCAGAAACCTCAATCAACCAATATTTGCTTTTCATACAACTCCACCTTTCATCAATTAATAATTTTAATAATTTTAGAAAATCGGAAAACCTCAATCAACCAAAATTTGCATTTCATTGGGCTCCAACTCAGATTTTACAAAAAAGATCAACTCACTGCTCCGATTACATTGTTGCATATACTACAATCTCCCTTCATGCATAGCAATGTATGTAAAACCTACTCATTTCAACTTGCAGCCCTCTTAAAGCTCACTCGCACTACTCATTAGACCACAATTCCGCAAATCCTCATCCCCGGAACCTAACAAAATCATTGACAACCTTTTTTGTGAACCTATTTTGCCCACATATCCAGTTAATTGTTAATGCCTCTATTTTCTATCTTTCGCATAAAAAATTCACTAACAATCGTACATATTCATACAATCATATTACATCAACAACCAGTAAAATTTGCCTTCCTAAACAAATGCTGCTAGCCCACACATGCGCCCATTGCAACATCATGTTTAATCGCATAACACTCTCAATCAATGTCGCAAATGACAACTTAAATTGCATATGCAAACCCTTCCTAATCAAAAAGCCAAACAGTATCTGCCAAATGAAAGCACTAATTCAAAGTTGGTGCTCAGTCTATCATTGTTAACCATTTAGAAATCCACAATTTTAGTTTATCAATACTTAAGTCAGGTCAAAGAAGTATAGCAGTATGCATAAAGGCCTCCAAGCTTCTGGAGATATCTTTCTACTACTAATATTTTCTAAAGGATTTGGTGAGCTTTCTATTGATATAGCTGATGAAATAATGTTCTTCGCATTCATCTCTTCCTCCTAGGGATAGATTTCTCATTCAATGTATCTTCTTAGGGATGGATTCAATAGCTCTACAATATAGTAGGCAACCTTCATTTCTTCCTCGAGTAAGATTTCTAACTCAGAGAAGAGTTTTATACAACACAAAGGAATTGACGCGGTGGAAGTCTACCTTAGTCCATTATGACTATATTTTTACCATTATGTAATGTATCTTACGGTCATCATTATTTGTATGTAAATTAATTATTAACCATTTACATGTTAGTAGTTATTTAGAAAAATCTTATCAATTTGTATTTTCATAGGAGTAAAATTATCATTTCCAATCAAGACTATTTTTATAAATCATGCCAAGGGCCTTGCAAATTAGTTATAGATGAAATAAGAAATTTTTATTTTCTATCATTCTTTCTTCTCTCCCTTATCCTAGGAATAAGATTTATTCATGTTTTCTTCGCACTATCTGCCGCCTCCATTCATCATAGGCATTTGTTAGTGAAGAAAAGTGGAGAAACTATATTATCTTATTATATCGTTTTCAAATTATAAACTTTCCCCTTATTATATGAGGAACAACTAGAGCAAACAATATAAGACTATTACAATTTATATAATACAAAACAAACAATGAAGGAAAGGCATACAACATAATAAGAAAAGAAAAAAAATTAAAGTTGAAGTAGTAAACTCCCTCTAATAGCCTCCACCAATTGAACCTGCGGAGCCCATATGGTCAGTGGTCTGGGCCACCTAACATTAACAGAATTCCAAACTCCCCCTCAAGCTATGTCATAGATGTTGTAAAAACCCAAATTGGTATCCAAATCAGTGAAACTGCCTGGAGTAGGGATTTTTTAAGACCTCGGTGACTTAAAAATGAGTTGGCGTGTAGATCAAGTGAATAATGCCGCCACGGTCCTTTTCGGACATAAAATGTCTATCAATCTCAATGTGTTTGGCCTTCTCATGATGCGGGGTTCTTTGCAATACTCATGATAGCTTGGCTATCAGATTTTGCACTACTTATAAAGACTTGTGCTTGCTTCTTGCTCCTCCATGTGACAAGATTTTCCTATACATAGAAATAATACTCATTATGGATCTTCTCTTTGTGAGTTCTACTGCTAAACTAGCATCAGTGTAAACTTCTAACTCTTTGTTGTTTGATTGCTTAAAGAACAATCATTTCTCATGGGTCTTCTTAAGAAACCTCAATATTTTGTAAACCATCTCCGAATATTCTTCATTTGGACTATTCATATGTTAGCTCACAATGCTGACAAAATAAGCAATATCAGATCTACTGTGTGACAGGTAAATAAACTTTCCCACAATCGCCGGTATCTACATTTGTCCACTAGTGTCTTTTCTCCCCTTGAATGTAACCTTTTGTTGAAATTTATAGGAGTCTCAGCAAATTTACACCCCAATATTTGTCTTTTTATAGTAGGTCTAGGATGTAATTTCTTTGGAATATCACAATTCCTTTCTTGGATCTGGCCTCTTTCATGACCAGAAAATATCAAATACCTCTTAGATCATTGGTTTCAAATTCAATGGCAAGAACCTCCTAAATTTTCTCAATCTCTTTTTCGTCTTTACCTATCATAATCATATCATTTACATAAATAATGAGTATAGCTTTCTTACCTTTCTGTATAAGTTTTATGAACGATGTATAATTAGATTGGCATTGGATGTATCATTAAGTTTCATAGTATCGACAAACTTATCAAACTAAGCCCATGGTAACTGTTTTGAGATATAGAATGTCTCTCTTAGTTTACAAACAAGCTGTTTGTTTGAGTCATTTTTAAGCCCTGATGGGATCTCCATATACACTTCTTCCTCAAGGTCTCTATTCAAAAAGACATTATTGATATCAAGTTGATGCAGTTCTCACTCTTTGCTTACTGCCAATGAAAGAACTCTTGTAGTGTTTAGCTTGGTCATAGGTGCAAAGATCTCTTGATAGTTCATCTCATAAGACTGACTAAAACCTTTCACCACCAACCAAATTTTGAATGTCTCAATGCTCCCATCTACTTTACGTTTCACATTAAACACTCATTTGCACCCACCAAAACTTTTAACTGGGAAAGTTTTGTAAAGCTCCATGTGCCATTTAGATTAATTGTTTAGATCTCCCCTTCAGTTATCTTCTTCAATTCTTGACTTTCAAGTGCTTCATAAATAGACTTCGATGACTGCACATTATCAAAATTAGATACAAAAGTTTTATAAGGTGATAATAATTTCTCATAGAAAACATACTCCTGTATAGGATAATTTGTGCAACTTTCCTCGTCTTCTCAATTCGATTCCACCTCCTCCAAAACTTCAGAGATATGTGGATACAAGTTTAGTTATGAACAATCTCGTGGTTGAATATTGTATTTATCCTACTAAATATATTTCTTTCTCATAGTGTACACACAAAATTTTTTGTGCAATTTCTTATTGTCAATCTCAGGTTGGATATCATCAAGTGGTGGAACTTAGAATACGGGATGGTTAGAGGGAAGTAGAATAGGTTGTGGTGACTCTAGTTCAGTGTGGTTATCCAGAGTATATCCCAAATATGATATTCGCTTAGACTCCCCCTCTGAATTTCAATTTTGGGGTAGTTTGATCGGTTTTCAAAGAATGTAATATCATAGAGTTATAGTAATTTTATAGTAATGGGAGAACAGCACTGTACCTTTTCTATTAGAAGCATGACCAGGGAAAATACATTTGATAGATTTTAGGTTAAGCTTTGTGTGATTTGGTTGGTGAATGTGAACAAAAGTGACGGCCAAATATTTTAGAAGAAGATTGGATGAGAAGACTCTAACATAAGAGTATGTTTCCATCAAAACATGAAGAGCTTTGAATACAAGGACATTGTTCGGCATTATATTAATGTGATAAGTCGTTATGAGCACCGCATCTCCCAAGAAAACTTTTGAAACATTGTGAGAAAGAATTGTAAACCTAGATACATTTAGGAAATGTCTATTCTTCCTTTCACCTAGTCCTTATTATTGTGAAGTCTCAACAAAGGAACTTACATGGATGATATCATTCTTTGCAAACTAGGGTCCAAGAATCGAGTTTAAGTATTCATTTGCATTATCAGTTTTGAAAATCTAAATTTTGCATTGGAATTGAGTGTAAATCATGTCATCAAGACTGAAAGATGTGTAATTTCAAATTTCTCCTTCAAGAGGAATATCCAACAGATTCTAATATGATCATCAATGAAGAAGACAATCTATCTTGTTCCA